GTGGAAATAAGTACCAATAATGATTTACAGAAAGTCCTGAATGATGGCTCATACTTTGGAGGTAAGCACGGATCTCAAAACCAAAAATGGATGGTACATCCACAATGCATACATGAAGTCAATGGCAACCATACGCCTGGCATGCCACTACACATCTACACACGCAAAAATCTCACATCTTGTAACAAGTTTGTCAACAAGCCGTCAACAAGTTGTCTTCACACTGCTTGTCACAAGTTGTCAACAAGTTTGGAACAAGCTGTTGACAATTTGTAACAACCTTGTTGATATTATCAGGCTTGTCACAAGGTTGTTCCAACAAGTCTGATACAGTCATGATATAAAATATTGTTACAACCGTGTTTCATCAATCTTGTAACATTCTTGTTATATCATGACTGTATCAAACTTGTTAGAACAACCTTGTGACAAGTCTGATAATCCCATCAAGCTTGTTGCAAGTTGTTAACAGCTTGTTCCAAACTTGTTACAACAACTGGGAACAAGCAGTGCGAAGAAAACTTGTTGACAGCTTGTGAACATATTTGTAACAACTTGTTTGCAGTAAAAATGCACAAGTTGTTACAAGTCTGCAAACAAGTTGTTACAGGTCTGTTCACAGGCTGTCAACAAGTTGTGTTCGCACTGCTTGTTCCAAGTTTGTTGTAACAAGTTTGGAACAAGCTGTTAACAACTTGTAACAAGCTTGATGGCATTATCAGACTTGTCACAAGACTGTGCTAACAGGTTTGTTACAGCCATGATAGAACAAGGATGGCAACACAAGGTTGTAACAATCTTGTTATACCAAGCATGTAACGGACTTGTCAGAACAACCTTGCAACAAGTCTGATGATTTCGACAAGGTTGTTACAAGTTGTCAACAAGTTGTTCCAAACCCGTTGACAACTTGTGACAAGCAGTGCGAATACATCTTGTTGACGGCTTGTTGGCAGACTTGTTACAAGATGTGAGATTTTTGCGTGTGTGACAAATGTTGGAATTAGGGGCGGCCCGGCGGGGTGGGGTGGGGTGGGGGTAGGGATGGATCTGATACATCACAATAAGAGGGGTCACATGAAGTATATACCCTAGTAACTGCCATCATTCATTGGTACATTTTATCTATTCTAGAAATTTGCCTTCTCACAAACGCCCGTCGTATAGCGACCGTCATTGCGACCTCCACTTGTGACACGTTTGTCTTGAGTACAAGCGATTTTCACGACGTCTTGGAAGACTACCCAGAGATGAGGGCACAAATGGAAAAAGTCGCCGAAGAACGCCTAAACTACATCAAAAAGTATCATAATCGTAAGGGGTCCGTCAGTCCGCTCATGGGTAGCATTTCTGAATCCGCTGGCCACCAGCAGGTGTAACGTGCGGGCGCATGTTGTGACGTAGTTTAGAGGGTCGAAAGAGCTCGTCTGTCGGTAGTTAGAACGAGGGAATATCATTCTACCAGATTACTGTAAGAAAGTAAGAGAGTAATTTAGAACCATTAAAAGTCCAAGGATTTTAAAAGGTTTCCCAAGTTTTCATCGCGAACTTTCAAGGTCGATACTTTTGCCTAAAACTGTAGCATGCAACCTGTTACAACCATGGCTTACAATTTGAGTTGTACTGTGTAAATCAACCACACAACTCTCCTATGACAAAATCTCTCCTCCGCAGACGGCGCAGAGGAAAGCTGTTGCATCATAGCATATTGGCAAAGTCAATAGACATAATCTCTAACCCCATTGAAAACGCTATCAACTATTCCCAATGCACCAGTCTTTCATATCAAATTACACTGCAAAAATGCATGCATCAATTCAAAATATTTCTCAATAAAAATCAACCGTTCAACTATTTTATTGAACGTATCACACGTGAAAAACCAGACCGGACGCAAAAATATTTCCATCTTTATTTTTTCTCAAAATAATTTATTTAAATTGCAAATACCTGTTGAATTAATCACGCTTTTATTACCTCGGGGAAATATTTTATTCATGAGCATATTTATAAACAAATATCATTGATATTCGATTGCGAAATGTAGCCAGTATAAAAGACCGAATATGAGGACGATTGCTTTCGGTTTATGCTGCATATTGCCTGCCCTATTTGGTCAACTGTATGCCGGTAAGTTTTGTACTGTTTTGTATTAATAGTAGATGTAATTTGCTAATGAACACATCAAATTGTTAGTCGCAAGTCGCGATTTGAATCACCATTGTGAAATACACATGACATTCACATGACATTCGATATGGTGTGAACTCACTCATTTCAATCCCTCAGAAGGAAAAATGAAAAATATAGCCAATTTCTTCTCTTCCAGATGAATTAGAAAAAACGAAATCATACAGTTATTTTTAACTAATTAATACCTTAAAGGTTTATTGCACACAAACCAACAAACGCGCCTCAAAGCAGTCCAAAAATACATTTTCCTAACAATTACCCCCGGTGTCGAATATAGCCTATACTAAAGTAGTAAAGATGTACACAAGGAGAGCCTTGAATGTTGTTATCTGTATATTTTTAGGTAATTTTATCGGCGCAGTGTCTTTGAAGTACAATGCATTCATAGTGTTAGAAGGAGGGCATTTTGAAATGACATGCGAGGCAACACACGAAGATAGAAGACCTGACTTGCAATTGTATTTTATTAACTATTCTCAGAAAAGAACAAATCTCACTGGCTTCGAGACCAGCGGTACAGGTTGGTTGCAGAGATGTGAATATCTTGACTTGTCTTATTTAACACAACTTCTTTTTGAATTGGTTAGGGTTAGGGTTAGGGTAACCTAAGGGGAACCCTATAACCCTTCTATAGAGTAACTTCAATTTTAACTGGTTTTATTTCAGGTTACACAGCCAAACACACGTATTCTCGAAGCGGAGCCAGATCATCTGACAGCGGTGATTATTTTTGTTGTGCTAAAGTCGGTGAGGATGCCGACCAGAAGAAAACAAGCGCTGGTATTCCTATACAAGTTATTAGAAGTTTTCTATAGTTGTGGAATTTTGCAATGTTGTCTTCACAATGTAACTGTAATCTGTATGCAATATGTGCTTTATATTAAATATTAAATTATTTGGTCATTTAAGGCTTTTACATCACTTTAGAGTAAGTCCAACGCAGCTTTCGTGTAGTGACATGTAGCAATGCTGTTCCAACAACTTGTCAACAGGATATGTTCGCACTGCTTGTTCCAAGCTTGTTGCCAAATTGTCAACGGCTTGTTGATAACTTGCTACAAGGTTGTTGAGCTCAACAGACTTGTTACAACTTGTTATCGTCCTGCAATTCAACAAGTTGCGAGTGACAACCTTGTAGCAACTTGATAAAAAAACCAGCATTGCCATTGTTACAACTTGTTGACAAGCTTGCTACAAGCCTGTTGCGAACACATCTTGTCGACAAGTTGTGAGATTTTTACGTGTGACATTATGTTTAAATACAAATTTAGCACAAAAATACTCAGTTGGTCTGCAGGAAATTTTATTTCTAAGTTGTGCTCCCAGGAAGAAAACTTTCTTCACCAGTCCAGTTCACATCACTAGTTATCCCAATGAGCACCGGTGCTTTACACACGTAAAAACGCACAAGTTGTTACAGGTCTGCAAACAAGTTGTTACAAATATGTTCACAAGCTGTCAACAAGTTATCTTCGCACTGCTTGTTCCCAGTTGTTGTAACAAGTTCGGAACAAGCTGTTAACAACTTGTAACAAGCTTGATGGCATTATCAGACTTGTCACAAGGTTGTTCTAACAAGTCTGATACAGTCATGATATAACAAGAATGGTACAAGGTTGTTCTAACAAGTCTGATACAGTCTTGATATAACAAGAATGGTACAAGGTTGTTCTAACAAGTCTGATACAGTCATAATATAACAAGAATGTTACAAGGTTGACGACACAAGGTTGTAACAATATTGTTATATCATGACTGTATTGGACTTGTTGGAACAACCTTGCAACAAGTCTGATGGTATCAACAAGGTTGTTACAAGTTGTTAACAGCTTGTTCCAAACTTGTTGACAACTTGGGACAAGCGGTGCGAAGACAACTTGTTGACAACTTGTTGGCAGACTTGCTACAAGATGTGAGATTTTACGCGTGCCACTTGAGTTGTACTGTATAAATCAAGCACACAAAGATCGGTTACATCAATTGAATGTAGAAAGGTCTTGACCCTAATCTCCATACGCAATCAAATATTTCCAATGCACTAGTCTTTCATATCAAATTACACTGCAAAAATGCATGCATCAATTCAAAACATTTCTCAATAAAAATCAACCGTTAAAATTAGTTTCAACCATTTTACGTATCACGCGAAGAAACACCAAACCGGACGCAAAAATATTTCCATCTTTATTTTTTCTTAAAATAATTTATTTAAATTGCAAATACCTGTTGAATTAATCACGCTTTTATCACCTTGGGCTCGAGGAAATATTTTATTCATGAGCAATTTATAAACAAATATCTTTGATATTCGATTGCGAAGTGTAGCCAGTATAAGGACCGAAAATGAGGACGATTGCTTTCGGTTTGTGCTGCATATTGCCTGCCCTATTTGGTCAACTGTATGCCGGTAAGTTTTGTACTGTTTTGTATTAATAGTAGATGTAGTTTGCTATATTTGAACACATCAAATTGTTAGTCGCAAGTCTTGAGTAAAATCTGTAGTATAAAGGTACAATTAAATGGCGAATTCCGAAGTTTAATGCGGCATTATAATACTTAGAATGCTGTATTTAACTGCTAGTACTTTACAATATTGATGGGCCAATCAAATTTGAAGTTTTCTATGATTTTAATACATAATATAGCGAGGGGGAACCAGGGAAAGGGGAACTTAAATTGTTTGAATTACGTTGTCATTTGAAAGTAAACATATAACTACATCAATAGCGTCGTTTGGCCCCAAAATCCAAATTCTTAGTTTACTGTGATTTTGTATATAAAATTATAAGTTCAGATACGTTTTTCGTTGAAATTAGAACCCCAAATTGCAAGTGTTCATAATCCTTAATACTGATGTTTCTTAATTTAAAAGTTCGCAATTTCCGGCTACCAGCCCTTATATATACCAAAACGTTTAAACTGAAGTAATTCTTAAACCAATTTACTGGGTTAAATTGGGTTGGGCCAATATAACTATAAAAGTATAAGGCAATAAACGGTTTCCATTTCGTACTTAGTTATATTTGGTGTTATATTTTTGAAACTTTATAAGTTTCGATTTTGTTCGGTATGTCGTAAACTAAATCGAGCTATTTTACCCTGTGAACGTAAAAATCTCACAACCAGTTAACAAGATGTGTTCGCAACAGGCTTGTAGCAAGCTTGTCGACAAGTTTTGACAACGCTGTTATTTTATCAAGTCGCTACAAGATTGTCACTCACAACTTGTTGAATTGCAGAGTCACGTTGTTGGAACAACTTGACTTGTGACAAGTCTGTTGAGCTCAGCAACCTTGTAGCAAGTTGTCAACAGGCTGGGAACAAAGCAATGCGAACACATCCTGTTGACAAGTTGTTGGAACAGCATATTGCTACAAGTACGCTGCAGGTTTGTTACAGCTTGTGCGTTTTTACGTCATGTGCATAAGGGTTTCTGTATTGCACACAAGAAGAGCCTTGAATGTTATTATCTGTATATTTTTAGGTGACTTTATCGGTGCAGTGACTCTGAAGTATAATGTATTCACAGTGTTGGAGGGGGACCGTTTTCAAATGACATGCGAGGCAACACACGAAGATAGAAGACCTGACTTGTTTTGGTATTTTGTTGACTATTCTCAGAAAGAAACAAATGTTACTGGCATCCAGACCAGTGGCACAGGTTGGTGGCTGAGATTTGACACAAATATAAAAACTATATTCAAAACTTATGAGTTAGACCGTTTGGGTAACCTAACCCTATAACCCTTTTATAGAGTAACTTCAATTTGGTTTTATTTCAGGTAACACAGCCACACACACATATGTTCATAACGGAGCCAGATTAACTGACAGCGGTGATTATTTTTGTTTTGCTTTTGTCGGCGAGGATGCGGACCAGAAGAAAACAAGCGCTGGTATTCCCATACAAGTTATTAAAAGTAAGTTGAATGCCAAGTGGCGTCCAAATGTCCAATAGCTCTTCAATTAGCCATTCCGAAGTTGATGATAGGACTGGGGACGAGTGTTAAAAAGTGCCCAAATTAAGAAATGAACCAAATAACTAAAAACACCACCTCAAAATTAGTTAGTATGCAAAGTTTGAAGACGTTTACATGAATACTCTTCGAATAATAAGCTTTCGAAAATTGTGAAATTACTGATTAAAAGATTGTTTATGGGACGCGTGTCCCAAAAACAAAAATTACAATACATTTCATAGTAAATATCACGATTTTCGAAAGTTTATTATTCGTGTAAGGATATTCATGTAAACGTCTTCAAACTTTGTATACTTACTAATTTTGAGGTGGTCTTTTTAGTGATTTGGTTCATTTCTTAATTTGGGCGCTTTTTAACACTCGTCCCCAGTCCACTCATCAACTTCGGAATGGCTAATGGTTCGCAGTAAATGACCGTAGCTGTTGCGGTTTCCAAGCCTGTTGAGGCAAAATGTAATAAATAAATTTCTGTCTCTTCGCTTGACTCGAGTTTCTCGAGTTCTCACTCCAGTTAATATATGGAGCTCAGTGTTCTAACATATTCTATAATACGTTCCAGGGGAGAACGAGCCTCGAGTGAAAATCACGAAGGCAAGAATCAAAGGGCAAACGGTGCTCACATGTATGGTGTACCCCGCCGGCAGCGGCTATCTCACGTGGCGTTACGATGGCAAACTTATCAAGTACGAGAAGCGGCTAGTCAGTGAACTGGAACTAGTGACTCCGTCAGATGGCGAATACCGATGCTATGGCAACCTCACTTTGGGGGGATATAAGTATTTTCTCAGCAACGCATACGCTACAGGTAAGATTGAAGAACACTTGGGGGTTATTTGGGATACACAGGTTTATTTATACGAAAGCCGAATACCGCTAGCCACTGGATATTGATTTCAGGGCTCAAAATAACGACCGGTCAACGGACAATAACCGGCCAAAATTGCCTCTTGATTGGTCACTTTTTTACCTCACCGGTCATTTTGACCGGCCACATTTTCATGCCTTCCCATGTGATTGCTGACGTCTTGAATTAAAACATGAATTTATGATGTAACGAAACAAGTTTCTAATAGTTTGTTTTACTGTTAGTGTAAGCGTATCAATGACCGATCAAAAACAGATTTTGAGCTAAAATTAAGTTGACCGGTCATTTTGACCAGACACCTATATCTCCCGTTATTTTGAGCCCTGGATTTGGTCGTTGACTGGTATATAATTATCACAGATTAGGCTGTATGAAAGTTATAAAGTTTTCTTTTATTAATTGTGGGATCTGTATTCGTACACACGTAAAAACGCACAAGTTGTTACAGATCTGTGAACAAGTTGTAACAAGATTGTTGTGAAGCCAATATCAGGTTGTGTTCGCACTGCTTGTTCCCAGTTGTTGTGACAAGTCTGGAACAAGTCGTTATAATGTTATCACCTTGTTACAAGGTTGATGACTGCAGTAACAGACTTTCTACAAGTTGTTCCAACAAGACACAGGCTGTTCGAAACAGGAGTTTGTTGTCATTAACTTGTTAACCGCAACTTGTTACGTGCAGACGACGATATCAGACCGTCATTGAAACAATTGTTGCGAATCTGTTGGCCTCATCAACCTTGTTACAAGATGATGACATGTTCAACAACTGAGCCCAACGAGCTGTGGGACACGTCTTGTTGACAAGAGAGATTTTTGCGTGTATAGTTTTATCACTTTTCAAGACATTTTACAACAGTTGAATAAATCACTGTCTGGCCTTCGTACAAGCTACCCCTGGACATTAATACGGTACATTCAAATACCTGGGGCCGGTTGTTCAAAGATGGGTTAGCTTAACCCTACTAGGTTAACGCAAAATTCAAAGCAAACTTCCTGACAGCTTGTCTATAAATTTGGAAATATTTCTTCAGAGATCTTGTCTGGATCGATAAGAGTTTACTTCTCTGAAGTTTTGAAATAAACAGACGTGCAGAAATATACAAACTAAAACAGCAGGCATGGGCGTACCGGGCGGAGGGGGCGGCAGCCTCCCCCCCCAGTTTGTTGGGCAAACAAAGCCAGTCGGGCAATATTCGCTTCACAGTCGGGCAATATTGGCTTATTATAAAAATAAATGGGACAAATTCTGTCAATTTTGTGGGAAATTCTGTCAATTTTGTGGGAAATATGCTATCTAATAGGAATTTTTCGTAATCACTCCTCCCCCCCGTCGACAACACTTTTGGAAAGTTTCTCCGGAAAATTTTTTTTGACAACTCGGGCACAATCCGAAAAAGTCTGGCAAATTTCTTTCCGCCCCCCTAATGTTTTGCTTCCCGTACGCCCATGGCATTTAGCACAATCCCGCAAAATATCTTTTGGGGACGCCATTTTGCCAAAATTGAAGCGCTAGATGGTTGTGTTTGTATAACTGCTGTTAAAGTTCACGGGCCTTCGATCAAATCAAAGGTGTACAATCGTCAAATCAAAGGTGTACAATCGTCAAATCAAAGGTGTACAATCGTCAAATCAAAGGTGTACAATCATCAAATCAAAGGTGTACAATCGTCAAATCAAAGGTGTACAATCATCAAATCAAAGGTGTACAATCGTCAAATCAAAGGTGTACAATCATCAAATCAAAGGTGTACGATCGTCAAATCAAAGGTGTACAATCGTCAAATCAAAGGTGTACAATCATCAAATCAAAGGTGTACAATCGTCAAATCAAAGGTGTACAATCGTCTAATCAAAGGTGTACGATCATCAAATCAAAGGTGTACAATCGTCAAATCAAAGGTGTACGATCATCAAATCAAAGGATCATTATCATATTAAATGTACACTGTAATCATATTAAACGTGTACAGTCATCGTATTAAATGTGCACATGATCATCTATTAGACAAATCATCGATTTGTCCAATCTACCGCGCCATAGAATAAGATAATTTTTGTTATATAGCAAGTGCCAAAGTCCATGTTCATGTGCAAGCTTTGATGCGAGGGCAACCGGTCAACAATGAAACAATTGTTGACCGGTCAACAGGTCAACAATAGAATGGGTGCAGTGCGCATGCGCGTCAACCATGAAATTCCGAAGTTCATTTTATTAAACTTTTTTATTAAACATTTACGTATGAACCGCGGCGTTCCATCTATCTAGTTTTGGTTTCAAAGTTAACTCCAATAACTGGTGAATTATTGAAATTAATGAATATTGTTGCCACTCCCTCTCGAAAAATATGAACTGTAATATATATATATATATATATAGGATATTATTATTACGCGGCGGCGCGAAGATATGACGTTTGGTGAACAGTGGCGGAAATTCACCTTTTCCGGTGGGGGGCAAATCCTCCTAAATTTCCGACAAAACTCTCAAATTCCCGACATACTCCCCATTTGCACTCGAAAAGACTGTTTTTAGCCCTCTTTTAGGTCAAAATTTCCGAAAATTCAACAATTTCCGCCACTGGTGGTGAAAACTGAAAACAACATTTTACGAACGAGACAGCGAGTGAGTAAAATATTGTTTCCAACACGCGAAGATAAAAGTCATATCTTCAAGCTACCGTGTAATGTTCTGTTTATTATATTGTCCCAAGCGAAAAATTGTGAAATTTCACGCTCAAAAGCAAATTGGAAAAAGTCACGTGATCGATATCTTCACTAGTGAAGATATGGAAAATATCTCATTGTGTATTTTTCAGTATCTCACTCTCTACTATATAATAAATATAATTATATAACGTGTTAAACGTTCAATGTTAAACTAAATAATGTTCCCAATTCCCATAAGGTCTCTAAAGCGTTGAAACATTGTTTTTCGTAATGGTTTAGTCAACAAGTCCGCTAACATTTCTTCCGTAGCACAATAATCTAGAACAAGTTCCGTCTTTGCAACTTTATCACGAATGAAGTGGTGTTTTATGTCGATATGCTTTGTTCTGGGATCAGTGATACCTAGGATTCTTTGACAAAGCTATCGCTCCTTAATTATCCTCTTTGATCACCGTTGGCTTGTTTTGAACAAACTAACTGATATCTTCGAGAAACACACGTAACCAAACTGCTTCCTGACACGCTAACGATGCAGCGACATACTCCGGTTCAGTTGGAGAATTTGCGACAACACTTTGTTTCTTACTAGCCCAACTGATTACTCTTCCACACAGATTGCGATTTCCGTCCGTTTGGATTATTTATTTATTTACTTATTTATTTATTTATTTATTGTGCGTCGCTTCCAAACATCCTACAACAATTGCATTAAAGAAGCTGGGGTACCACAACAGCTTAACACCAATTATACAATGGACCCTTTGCAAAATATCAATATAAATATAGAAAACAGAAATAAGGTTATTTAATTAAGGTACGTTTACACACCGCGACCCGCCGTGTACAACTAGTATTCTGGCATGTGTAATCGAGTAGGCACGCGTCACAGTTGTGCATTTAAATTTTGCCTCAATTCAGATTTTTGGAAATGTGGCAGCAAATGAAATTTATACACCAGAACCCGAATTGCACAGGACAAATCGCAATGTGTAAACACCCCTTCAGTAACAGCAAGTTAATGGTCGGATGAGACTGCTGCTTGTGCTACATTTGATGCAGACAGACTTCAAAGTTCGTGAATCGTCAGTGTTGTATCAGGATCGTAATGCAGTTAAGTAGTATGCTAATATTCCTTTCTTAAATTGAATAAAAGAAAGATTATTAAGCCTTAAATGCTTCGGGAGAGAGTTCTAAGTTCTACATGTTCGAAGAAAGAATGCATGATCGATTATAAGTTGTTGTTTTATGTTTTCGTTGACGGAATGAGATTGCGTTGACATTTGTAGATGATCTTGTGACTCTTATACGGGAGCAATACGTTCAGGTAAGGTATTTTGAGATATCGATACAATGCCAGTAATAGCTTTGAAGAAAAACATTACGTCTAAATATTCATGCCAATATGAGAGGGGAAGTCACACATGAATGGGAGGCCTAGAATAAACTTTGAAGCTCGGCTTTGAATACATTCTACTCGGTTGATGAGCTCGACCGACTGCGGCGACCACACTTGAGTGGCGTAGCCCAGCGCTGGTCGTACAACTGCCAAATACAATGTACGGCGAATCCTTTTATCCGTGATTTCCGTTGCAGATCTACGTTCGAATCCGAGCATCCTATTGGCTGCGGCACATCGATTGAGGGTGTGTTTAGACCATGTCAGATTACTAGTAACCCAAATGTAAAGATCCTTCTCCTCTGTTGTTACTGCGAAGGTTTTGTTTTTGTTGGCGAGGGGAATTCGGTGGTAGACGTCTTTCCCCTTTTAATTCGGGGTGTGTCTGCCAGAATTGCCCTGCCAAAACCGATGATGCCCTGCAGCAAATTTTTATTTCTGGCCACTATTTTTCCCAAAAATGCTGGCGAGGGGGGGGGGGGTTAAAATGTTTTTTCTGGACATTAAAAAAAGGGTCGAAAAATTTTTTGGACATAAACCAGTTAAATTAAGGGTCAAAAAAAATTTTCCGTACAAATTCCTGTTAACACATGGGTGAAACCCTTATTTTTGGACCAATATATGTAAAATTTAGGCTATAAATTCTATTCAATTCCCTCTGAAAGCCCTGTAAGTTACTTAATAACTCTACATTCTATCATTTAAAATCTTTGATTGCCCTGCCAATCCAGATGATTCGCCCTGCCAATCCAGATGATTCGTTTTTTTTTTGTTTTTTTTTTGGGTTTTTTTTGGGGGGGGGGTCACAAACCCCCATACCCCCCTCAAGTTTCGCCCCTGAGTTTGGTTAAATACACGTTGTTGTCGTTTGGACGTCGAAGAAGCTACTTCTGCATTATTCACTACATCAGGTAGATCGTTAACATAAAGGATGAAGACTATTGGACCCAGGATAGATCT